TTGCATTGTTATTTATAATTGGATCGTTGTTAATTTCTAGGTCAATTTCGTCACTTACATCAATTGTAAGTACAGTATTAAATAATATTATACGTATTTTACTTTAATGTTAAAATTTTAATTGTTTCTGAAATTGCTTTCAGTTTTATGATAATTTCATTTTAATTGGGAAATTCTATTCGGAGTCTCTTTCCTTGGAGTATAAATTCAAAGTATTGCATTATCTTGCATTTATATCTTCTAATTAATTATTTTTTAATATAAATAATTCGTTTCAGGGATTGGATTCATGAAAAGATTTGGAGGAATGCTTTTTGGAATATCCATTGGGGGATTCTTTTATGCGAAAAAACTTTGTTATTCGGGTCAGCAGATAGGCTACAGTTTTAAGATATTTATATGTGTTTCAACGAAACTAATATCATTAATTCATAATTATATAATTATTATTATGGTAACAAAGTATTTACTGTAATTATATACAAATATATTTATGATTATAATATAATATATAAGCTTATTGTATTTATATGATTTATGAGCCATTCGGTTATGACGTCAGCCATAATCGAATCCGGGCAGAAAAACAGAAATAATAATACTGTAATATTTCTACAATTCTAACGCTAATTACTAATTTGTTTCTTTTGTATAATTAAATATGTTTATTGTTTTTCAGGTAATCAGCTGATTTTATTCAGTTTTCTCAATACTAATTGAGCTTACCAGAGTATTCGACCAAAAGAATTGCTCTTCAGAAATTAATGAATACATCGCAATGAAAAATACAACACTTTCTTAAAAAGATGAATTTATTGGCTTGAGATTTTAAAAAATTGTAGACCTATAAATTTCCACTGTCGTTGTCTATTGCTTGGCTGTCTGTTCTTTCTTAATCTCAAGTACAGAGTTAGACAGATGAATATCGAAGAGATTTTGGGCAGCATGTCCTAATTAACTGTATGCGAATGTCCGCTTTTGAGGAAAAGTGACGTTATTTCAATTCAAAATGTTTTCTCTTGAATAGAATTAGATAGGTGATCAGCACGACTCTAGTGTTAATGTGCAAAATTATGAAACAGATATAAACTATTGTATTTTTACAATACTTTATAATCTTAATTTTAACTCCTTTGAAGAAGTTTGTCTAACAGTTCTGGAGAGACCATGTTCTGCTTCTAAACTAATTTTCGAAAAATGTAAAGACAATGAATATTTTTCTCTTGTATTTATGAATAGTTTTAGCAGTGAACAATGTTTCTGTATCATTATTGATTATTTTTAAAACACTTTTTGTACTTGAATAAAAGTTTTGTCTTCGAAATTTTTGCATTCGTTTTACACCTAAAAATTTGTTGCTCATTCAGCGCTTTTGCTTGAAGATATTACTTCTCCGGCTGTTATACATAACAGAGGGAAAGTATGACGATTGGTCAATAAATAACTTCCAAGATTTTTAATTTTTGGATTTAGGACACCTTAATTAAAACGTCGAGAAACGCGAAAAACTTTTGGAGTAACTTTTGTACGTATGGATATTAGTGTGTGTGGGGGGTGGCACGATTTTGTTCACCCTGTTTGAAGCTTAATAACTCTCGTGCTTTTTGTCGAAAATTTCTGAATTTTGCAAGGAGATTTATGTTAGGAAGATTATGCTATTAAATTTTGGTGGTTAAAGGTGGAGGTAGTGGGGAGATAATGGGGGTCGTGTGTATCTCCAGTAGATTCGGACCGAATGACGATTTTACTCGTTATTAGCATATACAATTTTTTTTGTAAAACCCATCTATACCCTCAAAATTAGTCTTTTTGCTATTTAGTAATAGTTAAAAATATAAACAGTTTTTAAAAATAAAGTATGATAACATATGGCGCCTCCAAAATTTAAAATGTTGACGGGAAAGTTGAGCAACTCGCTTCTAGTTTATTTTATTTTTTAAAGTCGTCCGGATGGCGGGTTTAGTTTGCCGCATTTTTATCCGAACTGTGTTCTTTCCTGGTGAAAAACGACAATGTCTATTAGAGCAGTGGTGTCCAATCGAAATTGTTTACTGGGACAATACCAAAAATAAAAACACACTGTGGCCCGCACATATTTGTTTACAACAAAGCATTTACAATTATACAGTATTTTGTATGTATTTTAATGTGAAACTTATTTTTTTAATATCAACAGGTATTTTCGATGTTGTACATCATAGTTGGTTTTTTAAAAATTTTCGTAGGTCACTCTATTATGACTTTTACATTGAACAATTGAGAAAAAAGATTCATAAAGATAGGTGGTTCCCATTGCAGCTGTAATGCTTATCGCCAGTTTTTTTAGGTTAGGGAATTTATCATTATAGACGTATTTTTTTTTTATAAAATTGAACTTTGTCATTGACTTCAAACATATATTTCAATTCAGAAGATGACTGGAGATCTATTAACTCCATCTGCAAATTTGTTGAAGTTGATTCCACAACAATGTCAAATAGACGTAAGAAAATATTAAATATCTTCTCATAATTTTTTAAATATGAAAGTTTCTCCTGAAATTCTCTTAGTAAATTAGAAATTTTTTGTTCATATTTTAAAAAATGTTCTTTATCACTATTAAATTGATGTGATAATGAAAAGTGAACTGTAGTTTTTTATTTTAACTGACTTTTAATAAAGTTTAGGTTTTGCTATGAATGCTTTTATGTTTTGTAACAGTCTGTAATCTGTTTGTTTTCACCTTGAAGCTGCTTATTAAGTTCGTTTAATTCCATTCTGATATCTGTGAGAAAACGTAAATTAACCTATAAATTACCGGTAATTTTTAAATTTTGGTTGCAAATAGCGCACTAGTGATTATTTGCAGACACATGAATGAATCGGCAACTAAACAATCACTATTGCCGTATTGCGCTAAATGCAATTGAATATCCTTTATTCTATACTAAAAAGCAGCAGTTTCATTAACTAAAAAATAACATACTGTGATTGTTTAGTTACCGTAATTAAAGTTGCCAGTAAATTACCGTAAAGTTGCCAGTGAAAGCATTCACATTTAAATGTCTTAATGTACATCGCAAGCAAAGAAATGGATTTTTCCTTTCGTAATTCTCGGAAAAACTAATTATAATTATTTCTTCTAAGAATCAATTCGCATTAAAATGTTGATTTTCAGTTTCATGATTATCATTATAAAACGGAATTACAGAGCAAATTGTTTAGGAAATGTTCCTTTAAACTTATATCACGTTTTGAATTTGTCTAAAATAGACATATGATAAGTTTCAGAAGAATATAAACAACTTTTCAATTATTTTTTTCCTTAAACAGTAAACAATACTGTCTTATGTAAGACTTATTTATTGGAAAATTACTCTTTCATTTATAGGAGAAAAATACAGTTTTTAAATTTTATTATATGAATTATGTTACTTATAATAAGTTCTCTATTCGGTGTTCATATTAGGAAGAATGATCTAAAAGTTAAATATCAATAGTAAATTTTCATATATTTTTTGTTCTATTAATATTATTTACTCTATAAAAATAGAGTAAATAATATTTTAGTTTATATGTAAATATAGTATACAAAATTCATATGGCAGTTTATAAAATTCACATTTAAAGCGACGAACGTAATAATCTTAAATATTTAATATAAAATAATTAAAAATTACGTTGTCTAGTTTATAAGCTATTTTATTTGAAAAATAGAGTAAACCGTAATGAAAAAAAAAACAAATTTTATTCAGTTAAAAAATAATTATAAAATTGAAGCTAAATTTGATTAATAATAAATTAAATTAATTGACAAAATCCATTATATTTTTTATAAACTGTCAAATGATGACTTTAATATCAATTTTATGTACAGTACATCGTTATATCGAGTTTTACTTAAATTTGTAAAAAATTTTCACGTCTTACACGATTTTGTTCGAAAGAAATAACTTTTTTTTTATAATATAATATATAATAATAATAAATATATAAAGATATAAGAATGAATATAAAAAAAAATCTTTAAATGAAATAAAAATTTACAACATTTTTTTTACATGTAAAACAATGGGCATAATAGAACAAACGTGTTTGTAGTTTTCAGTAGGGAAAGATGTTTATACTTTTCAAATTTAATTGTATACTGTATAAAAGTTTAATAAATTAATTTTATATTACTTTTTTACACTTAAATCTTTGATTTTGTATTATATTTCTCTTGTTTAAATGGTTATGTTGGATGGTAGCTTTGCTCTCTATGTTGTTCACTTGGAACGGATTATACCTATATTAATGAATACTAGAACGAATAGATGCCATGCTTACCATTGGCCGAGTGGATAAAATCACTAAACAATGGTATTTCAATTTTAATTAATTAATTTTGATTTTATTTTTAATTATAGTTTTATTTTCGGTTTCTGTGTAAAGTAGCTACCTAGCATGCTTTAATTCGTGATGTCTGCAAGGTTCCAACATTTTTTATTAAGGTGAAAAAAAGCTCAATAATCTCTGTATACTTATCTCAATAAAATGACTTCCCGTTTNGCACAAATGCTTCTTATACATAAGCTAGCGTGCCAAATTTCGTTTTATTTTTACCCCATTCTGAGATATTAAAACAAAATAGACGCCAACACACGGAATTTTTCTTCTTTTTGACATTTTTGGTTAAGGGAGATTGAAAACGGAGATTTGCAAAAATCCCAGAGGATGAAATTGGTACGATTCCAATACTTTCTCTTGTAATGTATACATAACAGCTGGGAAAGTAATACCAGTAATATATTCTGCTTTCATAGACTATAAAAACGCATACTATGGACAATTTTCTGGTGTTTGAAAACTTTAAAAAGTTTTTTAAAAATTATGACATTATCTTCACCTAAGTACTAATTACTGGATATCAGTACTTAAGTGAATAGTTTCACCTAAGTACTGATATCCAGGAGAACCAGGCATCATCCTTGGCAGATCGCCCACATGTTGCATTGCCATATCCCACTAAACCACACCTGTTTATAAGTTTGCAAATCCCGAAATGCTTCCTGAACATCCGATATAATGATATTTTAATTAAGTTTAAAATTTACCCTGTCAACTGGAGTTAAATTTAACATTTCTTCTTGGGAACATATCCAGAACAAAAATTCGTACGAGCTTTTATTAAAGTGATTTTCAAATATTTTTTCCATTTCATTAGCAGGGTCATTTTTGTTCATTTGCACCTAGAATTAAATTGAGACTTTTATGATAAACTCCTCAAAAGCATGGTTTTTCAATGAATAAGCGATTTGACAAAAACAACTTGAACTTACAGGAAATTCGTTATTTGAAAGATAAGAGGAATCAAACAAGGATATTCTCTTGAGACCTACATAAATTAAAATTAATCATTAGCTTCAAATTTTAGTTCAGTTTATTTAAAGCGGTTTTTATTACCAATAACAAATGAAAAAACTTACCGACAGAACTAGCTGTAATCCCATTTATGTAAAAGGAATCCAAAAAACAATGAAGACATTGATCATTGCCAGAATCTTCTTCAAGCATACAACAAGTAAAAGTTTCGGCTGATCCTATTGTTTGAATAAATTCAGCTTCACAAGATTCACAGTAATAGAAATTCGATTTAAAATATGTATTATTATTGCAGATTTCGCATTTCCCTACGGTCGTCTTCAAAAATCTTCCTGAAGATCGTTCTTGTACTTTGTTAAAGAGTAAAAGTTTTAAAATTTTAAAATCATTAGACTTGAAATTCCTATATTCAGCTACAGTAACAAAAGACTAATGAAACTGGCATTCTAATTATATTAGAAGCAATTTATAATCTAATTTTATGAAGATTGATTTACGAACAAGAAATTGTTTTAATGAGCTTCGTAAGTACTAATAATTTTCTCGTGAATTATCATAAAAATGATAAATCTAGTGAATAAAGAAATGTAAAATCATAAAGATATCAGAATATGAGATTATAATTCTTCCTATAATGCTACATTTTTTTTTCTATAGAGTTAAAGTCCTCAAAAATAATATTTCACAATGGAGAACACGGGTTCTATTCCGGGCGAACAACTCCAAGAATTTTTCGGCTCTCCTTCCCTCACCCGGCCACCGATTGGGGTGGCCGGGATGGCCGGATGAGCCGACGGTAGGCCTAGGCCTGCCGTCGGCTCAGCTCTCTTAGTGCCCACAAGGGAAAAAAGAGTTAAAATAATTTTTCCTGTAATTTTAAATATCAAAAATCCTTGTTAAAAATTTTCTAATTGCAAGTATATAAATTAGAGCTGTTGATTAATCATATTAATTAATAACTTGAATTTGTATAATCAACAGCTTTAATCCTGAGAAAATTTTAATTAATTTCACGAAGTTTGAAGTGGGTCTAGCAATGAAATATAATTTGAATCTCGCAAATGAATTCGCGGTCTTCCAGATATTAGAATGTCAAAATCAATTACAGATTTGACTTTCTCTTGATTTGTACTCTCTCGTATCCGATCGCTTGAAATTTTATCGGCAACACACATTTTCAAATGGAAAAATCCCTGTGTACATTGTAATTAAACGTTATGAACTTGAACTTAATAAACGGAAGACATGGGTGTAACAATTGATCTATCACTACACGGTGATAAATCAATATCTCATGTTCATTCTTGAGCAGTTTATACAGAAATATTTGACTACATAAGCCGCTATTGTGCCAAGTAAGAGTCTTTTGTCTTGTTGAATTTGCTTGATGAAAAAGAGTTTCGTTGAATGCTATCAAATGAAATCAAGCCATTTCTCTCGTTAACTGACAATACTCAAGAGTAAAATTTGTAATAAAATTTTACTTCACTTTTTCTAAAATAAAATTTTTAATGCATAATCATTGAATAGCAGGAATATCTGTAACTAGCATAAATATTCTCTAAACAAACTTCGACTGGTAAATATTCGACTTGATGTTTGTGGACTATAAAAACTTTCTGTTTGTAACGAAAATATAATATAATTTTGTAATAATTAATAAAATTTCATAAAAATCCAGTAAAATATTAACACTTTACGAGTACACCGACGTTTATTCTTTTTATCTTTATTAGTATTTTAAAAATTTATTATAAATAATTATACATTATTAAACTAAATTTTAGAACAAATTGATTAATTTAGATTATCGACTTTAATTAACTTACTAACAAGATTCTTCTCAAAATTTCTCTCACTTTCTGTTTCACTTTCACTCATCTTGAATAATATAAATATTTACATAAAACTGTCCATTCTTTTGCAAATATAAAGCAAGTTTATTACGAATATGCAAATTTGCTCAAGAAAGCTCAATCATAAATTAAAGTTATTCAGATTAAAGGATTGGAATTATTTAAATTTAACAAGCAATAAAAACAAAGAAACAAATTATTGCATAGTTTTTTTATGCAAATTATTGTTTATTTTATGCATAAAATGCATATAATATACTTATTCTAACATAAACATTTTTAGAATTATTATTTTTAATCATACAAAATCAATTAATAAAAGCATAAATAAATAAATTAATATTTATATGAATTATTTTAATATATTATCATTCACTAGATAATGTATCACGGTGAAGAAGATTTTATCAATAAAGGCGAAAGACATATTTTCATTTTCCTTGCATTCTTTGTATTTATTCTCGTATCACTTTTTGTGTTATTTTTATATATAAGTTATTTTACCATATCCAAATTCATACATGATGATATAATAGTATTAGGTTGCATAGTAGCCATTTAGATTTGAGTAATTTATGGAACGTCACACGTATGCTACGTGTGTTCAAAAAACTATGCTACAGGTATAGTTTTTGCATTTTGTTCTGTAATCTTGGCTAAACGATTTATTGAAATTTCCAAAGAATTAGAAAATGCAAACCAAGCGACGAGATCTTTTATACAAAATCTGACGGAGAAACTCTTAGAATTACGGAAATTTATTCAAGAAGTAAACGAAAACTGGAGTATATTCACTCCCATTATATATATACACTTTGTGTACGAATCTAGTTTTTTCTTATATGTAGTTCTTTTCTCCAAAATAAATATAATCATATGATTAGTTGTATCAGTTTTGCATTGTTATTTATAATTGGATCGTTGTTAGTTTCTTGGTCAATTTCGTCACTTACATCAATTGTAAGTACAGTATTAAATAATATTATACGTATTTTACTTTAATGTTAAAATTTTAATTGTTTCTGAAATTGCTTTCAGTTTTATGATAATTTCATTTCAATTGGGAAATTCTATTCGGAGCCTCTTTCCTTGGAGTATAAATTCAAAGTATTGTATTATCTTGCATTTATATCTTATAATTAATTAGAAGATATAAATACAAGATTCAGGTGATTGGATTCATGGAGGAATGCCTTTTGGAAAATCCATTGGGGGATTCTTTTATGTGAATAAAAACTATGTTATTCGGGTCAGCAGATAAAGTTTTTAAGACATTTAAATGTGTTTCAATAAAACTACATGTATAAATATCATTAATTCATATTATTATTATTGTGTTGGATTTAGTGGGTAATACTCGGTTTAAACCGGTGGCTGTGTACTATGCCGGAATTATATACAAATATATTTATGATTATAATATAATATATAAGCTTATTGTATTTATATGATTTATGAGCCATTCGGTTATGACGTCAGCCATAATCGAATCCGGGCAGAAAAACAGAAATAATAATACTGTAATATTTCTACAATTCTAACGCTAATTACTAATTTGTTTCTTTTGTATAATTAAATATGTTTATTGTTTTTCAGGTAATCAGCTGATTTTATTCAGTTTTCTCAATACTAATTGAGCTTACCAGAGTATTCGACCAAAAGAATTGCTCTTCAGAAATTAATGAATACATCGCAATGAAAAATACAACACTTTCTTAAAAAGATGAATTTATTGGCTTGAGATTTTAAAAAATTGTAGACCTATAAATTTCCACTGTCGTTGTCTATTGCTTGGCTGTCTGTTCTTTCTTAATCTCAAGTACAGAGTTAGACAGATGAATATCGAAGAGATTTTGGGCAGCATGTCCTAATTAACTGTATGCGAATGTCCGCTTTTGAGGAAAAGTGACGTTATTTCAATTCAAAATGTTTTCTCTTGAATAGAATTAGATAGGTGATCAGCACGACTCTAGTGTTAATGTGCAAAATTATGAAACAGATATAAACTATTGTATTTTTACAATACTTTATAATCTTAATTTTAACTCCTTTGAAGAAGTTTGTCTAACAGTTCTGGAGAGACCATGTTCTGCTTCTAAACTAATTTTCGAAAAATGTAAAGACAATGAATATTTTTCTCTTGTATTTATGAATAGTTTTAGCAGTGAACAATGTTTCTGTATCATTATTGATTATTTTTAAAACACTTTTTGTACTTGAATAAAAGTTTTGTCTTCGAAATTTTTGCATTCGTTTTACACCTAAAAATTTGTTGCTCATTCAGCGCTTTTGCTTGAAGATATTACTTCTCCGGCTGTTATACATAACAGAGGGAAAGTATGACGATTGGTCAATAAATAACTTCCAAGATTTTTAATTTTTGGATTTAGGACACCTTAATTAAAACGTCGAGAAACGCGAAAAACTTTTGGAGTAACTTTTGTACGTATGGATATTAGTGTGTGTGGGGGGTGGCACGATTTTGTTCACCCTGTTTGAAGCTTAATAACTCTCGTGCTTTTTGTCGAAAATTTCTGAATTTTGCAAGGAGATTTATGTTAGGAAGATTATGCTATTAAATTTTGGTGGTTAAAGGTGGAGGTAGTGGGGAGATAATGGGGGTCGTGTGTATCTCCAGTAGATTCGGACCGAATGACGATTTTACTCGTTATTAGCATATACAATTTTTTTTGTAAAACCCATCTATACCCTCAAAATTAGTCTTTTTGCTATTTAGTAATAGTTAAAAATATAAACAGTTTTTAAAAATAAAGTATGATAACATATGGCGCCTCCAAAATTTAAAATGTTGACGGGAAAGTTGAGCAACTCGCTTCTAGTTTATTTTATTTTTTAAAGTCGTCCGGATGGCGGGTTTAGTTTGCCGCATTTTTATCCGAACTGTGTTCTTTCCTGGTGAAAAACGACAATGTCTATTAGAGCAGTGGTGTCCAATCGAAATTGTTTACTGGGACAATACCAAAAATAAAAACACACTGTGGCCCGCACATATTTGTTTACAACAAAGCATTTACAATTATACAGTATTTTGTATGTATTTTAATGTGAAACTTATTTTTTTAATATCAACAGGTATTTTCGATGTTGTACATCATAGTTGGTTTTTTAAAAATTTTCGTAGGTCACTCTATTATGACTTTTACATTGAACAATTGAGAAAAAAGATTCATAAAGATAGGTGGTTCCCATTGCAGCTGTAATGCTTATCGCCAGTTTTTTTAGGTTAGGGAATTTATCATTATAGACGTATTTTTTTTTTATAAAATTGAACTTTGTCATTGACTTCAAACATATATTTCAATTCAGAAGATGACTGGAGATCTATTAACTCCATCTGCAAATTTGTTGAAGTTGATTCCACAACAATGTCAAATAGACGTAAGAAAATATTAAATATCTTCTCATAATTTTTTAAATATGAAAGTTTCTCCTGAAATTCTCTTAGTAAATTAGAAATTTTTTGTTCATATTTTAAAAAATGTTCTTTATCACTATTAAATTGATGTGATAATGAAAAGTGAACTGTAGTTTTTTATTTTAACTGACTTTTAATAAAGTTTAGGTTTTGCTATGAATGCTTTTATGTTTTGTAACAGTCTGTAATCTGTTTGTTTTCACCTTGAAGCTGCTTATTAAGTTCGTTTAATTCCATTCTGATATCTGTGAGAAAACGTAAATTAACCTATAAATTACCGGTAATTTTTAAATTTTGGTTGCAAATAGCGCACTAGTGATTATTTGCAGACACATGAATGAATCGGCAACTAAACAATCACTATTGCCGTATTGCGCTAAATGCAATTGAATATCCTTTATTCTATACTAAAAAGCAGCAGTTTCATTAACTAAAAAATAACATACTGTGATTGTTTAGTTACCGTAATTAAAGTTGCCAGTAAATTACCGTAAAGTTGCCAGTGAAAGCATTCACATTTAAATGTCTTAATGTACATCGCAAGCAAAGAAATGGATTTTTCCTTTCGTAATTCTCGGAAAAACTAATTATAATTATTTCTTCTAAGAATCAATTCGCATTAAAATGTTGATTTTCAGTTTCATGATTATCATTATAAAACGGAATTACAGAGCAAATTGTTTAGGAAATGTTCCTTTAAACTTATATCACGTTTTGAATTTGTCTAAAATAGACATATGATAAGTTTCAGAAGAATATAAACAACTTTTCAATTATTTTTTTCCTTAAACAGTAAACAATACTGTCTTATGTAAGACTTATTTATTGGAAAATTACTCTTTCATTTATAGGAGAAAAATACAGTTTTTAAATTTTATTATATGAATTATGTTACTTATAATAAGTTCTCTATTCGGTGTTCATATTAGGAAGAATGATCTAAAAGTTAAATATCAATAGTAATTTTTGATTGCGTTTTAATAGGGTACGTCAAGAGAATGTACACTAAGAAGAAATTTTTCGAAAAATTTCCCCCCCACGGGGGAAGTGTTATACATTTATAATAGATACATTTTGAGTCACAACAACGCGTGGCGGGATCTGCTAGTATATAATAAAGCTCATGTGACATATTTTTATATATATTATTTTACACTGGTTGAAGTCTAAATGAAGATAGTTCTCTACAGAGGCATGGCATTAATCGCGCGGAACAACAGTGAACAGTAACGACAGAAAACTTTTTTAAAATGAACTTTTCACGACATGCTTTCACACTACATATGCAAAGTTTTGAAATTAATATATATTCCTTTATATTTTATAAAAATTTATTTCTAAATATTCAATGCAAATATCTTGAAATCATTATTGGTTCACTACCACTTGTCTATTGCATATATGGTTTCAAAAGAACTGTTGCCACACTGTACACAGCTTATACTATTAATATCAAATTGGTGATATNTATAATATAATATAATATAATAATAAATATATAATTTCTGACAAATTAATTGAAAACAATGTGTTTGTAAATCAGATTTGACACTTAAACACTATTTAGAGGTCAGAAACGGGAGAAATATCTGTCCTAAAAAGGATTTAAGTTTGATTGTTTTCGGGTTTACTCGCTTTGATTTATAAGGAGGTGTATTTGACTATCTTAATTTTTTATATAAAAGTCTATCAACGAAAATTAATTGTATGACAGTTATCAAATATTGATACGAAATTCATACAAAATGATTTTTACGTTATAATAGGAGCCTTCCAATAAATACGTGTTCAGAAGGGTGTCACAAAAAGTACTGTACATCATTGCAAATCACAGGGAGGGAGGAAGCAAAAGTGGTTCAAAAACTTTACACGTAACTAATGGACGGTTCCGTACCGAATCAAAATTTTCTTTAAAAAAAAATACAAATCAAAGTTTTAAAAATATACTAAAAGCGATAAAACGTAAGCATAAAATCCACGTTTAGATTCTTAAACAAGTACAATTATAAAAAAAAATTTATAAGATAAGTTTTTCAGTATTGTCCGAGGTCAACGATAGTGAAAGGGAATAATTTTTCCTCGACGCCATCTAGCGAGTCAAAATTATACTAAGGCATTCAATCAGTGTTGTCAACACTCGCTCCCAGGTATTCGGAGGATACGCACGGGTAAGTCTCTTTTGGAATATATTCATTAAACTCTCTTAAAAGTAAACATATAGGTTATCTATATATAATTACTAATATATTTATAAATTATGATATGTATATATACATATTTTCCTTTATAAAACTGTTTTTGTTTTATTAAAAATATTTTTAAAAATTATGATTAAATATATAAAATAAGAAAGATTAAAAAAAAAACACTACGAAAATAATGACATCATAGTCATAACGAGAAGTGACATGTATACTACGAAATGGTCTGTCCTTGAACTTTATTTTCATACCTTGACTGTTTGTCTCCCCCACTGACAGCATAACTTTTACACGCTCGCAATTGTCACACTTTCTAAGTAAAAACTTGTCAAGAGAATAAATTGTGCAATGTGAAATTCAAAAAACGAGAGGAAAAAAAAAATTATAAATAATTCTGCTTTTAGTGAGGTCAATAGACCAAGAGTTGTTGCAGTACAAGTTTCTTTTCTGCCAGAGAAAAATACTTATTGTGACAGTAGATGGAAGTATCGGCTATTAATTTTTTAAATCGTTTTTTTCCGTCAAGTTAATATTCTTGGAATTTAAATAATGGCAATTTTTTTTATATGTAAGGATGGACTGCAAGAAGACTGTGTTTGTGACCGGAGGTGCAGGTTTTATTGGAAGTCACACTGTCACAGAACTTTTGCAGGCCAATTATCATGTTGTGGTCGTCGATAATTTTGTTAATGCGGTTTCTGGTAAGAATCGAAGATAAAATAATTAATTAGAGGTTAAGTTTTTAAAAGTTTCAGGTTAATTTTTCTTTTAGGTAAAAGTGGGGAAGCACCAAGTCTGAAGAGGGCAGAAGAGATAACTGGCAAGAAAGTAACGTTTTATCACTGTGATCTCTTGGATAAAGATGCACTCGGGAGGATATTTCGCAAGGTATAATTGAATATAAACAGTTTGGATGGTAATAATAATGTTTTAAAACTATTCAATGCTTAATTTAGCACAAGGTTGATTATGTTGTCCATTTTGCTGCAATGAAAGCTGTAGGAGAATCGATGGCGAAACCACTCTTTTATTATAAAAATAATGTCGTCAGCACTATTAACCTGTTAGAAGTACGTATCCGGATTTTCTATTACAATTTATATACATATGCTTTATTGGTGAATACTTAATGAATGACATAACGTTTTTCTAGGTCATGTGCGAAAATGGCGTTTACAATATGGTTTTTAGTAGTTCTTGCGTAGTTTATGGTAAACCTCAATATCTTCCGATCGACGAAGCTCATCCCACGGGAAATGTTATTAATGTCTACGGAAGAACAAAATATACTATCGAACAAATATTAGAAGACATGTGCAAGGCAGAAAAGGTAATTTTTAGCAGTACTTTTGAATTATTTTATCCACTAGAAAATGTTAAAATATGCTAAATTTCTGGTAGATTACCAAAAGATTATTAAAGATGCTAGTAGATAAATGGATTTATTTAATAATTAAATATTTGATTTTGATTATGATTATGAATAAATACCTGACCTCAAATAAAAATAACATTCAAAATTGAGGCAAATAAAATTGTCAGTAATAACTTCGATATCTTCCGAAATGTCGCTTTTGATTGAAGGTTTTTTGGACCAATTGGAATAATAATTAGCTCAAAAACTACACTTTTATGGCAACGATTATAGGCAATTATTAATTAATTATATATCTTGTACAGTATCTGATACATTCTGTACTATTAAGCGCTACTGTTTAACTATTATGAGTTTTTTCATACGCTATTTTATAGATCCGTAAATCATATTAGCATTCGTGATTTTGATCACATGCCATTTTTATATGAACGAATTTAAATTATATTGAACTACCTAAGTTTCCAATATTTAAAGAAATTCTTCTTTGCATATAATCCACTTCGAAAACGCTTGAGAATGTAGAAATGAAATTAGATTCGATAATTGTGCATCCCATAAGAACTTTAAGAAATTTTATTTATATATTATACTATATGTTATATATATTTACTTATATAATTATATATTCATTAATATATTAACAAAAATATTATTAAGTTCTTTTAACGGATGGCTGAGATGATTAAGGCATCAGCCTACCGCTCTGGAGGACCCGGGAGCGAGCAGCTTCCAGGAATTTTTTCATGGCAGTCATTCCTAGATACGTTAAACTATCTGGTCGATGGCCGGGTGGCAGCCTACCGCTCTGGGGACCGGGATCGAATCCGGACAGATCAAAAAAACCCAGGAATTTTTCGGGGTAGTCCATCCGGATACGCCGGGCTTCATCCCCACCACCCGGTTTGTGGACCTAGCTGAACCCATGATGGGCTTGATTTAAAAAAAAGGCCTTCCTAGTGTTCCAGAGCACTAAGAGTTTTGCCCTGTAAGCACTAAGAAAGTTTTAAACAGGAAAATATTTTATAATTTCCAATATAACGAATTTTTTGAATTTTATAGTTTGAGCTTAACATAATTTTATATTATAAAATGCAAGAGGATTTTCAAAATGTAAACAATTTTTAATATCTATATAATGTACTGTATATGATTGTTTAGCACACAGAGGTTGTCATTAACATTAACCTTCACTGCAATATAATACAGATGTTAATCTAGGTCAACTTTATCATAAATATTAACCTTAATGAAATTAATGGCATTAATCATTAGATCATAAATATGTCATCTTAAGGATAGAAGACATAAAAATTTTAGAATTCTCGATTAATATGGCCTTTACCATGTCAAAATAGAATTTTTATTTGTAAAATGTGTCAAAGTATTAAGCTTAATTAATGTCAACAGGAAGTGGGGTTTGTATAGCTTATTTCCGAACTATTTTCATTATTCTGAAGGGAGCATCTCATCGCCGATTTTAAAGTCAATCGGTGTGAGCCTTAAATTAAAGATATAAAGAATATTCTTTATATATGGAATGATCATGAACGAGAGACATTCAACGAGAGGCAAGCTCATTTTGTAATGTATGTATGTCTAGAACATTCTGCAATTAACGTTTATAATTAAATTCATTGTTCTAAAGATTCATCTTTTACAATAAAACATGAAAATATAATTAATAGACGCGCAAATAATTTATTTATAGAAATTATTGGTTTATTGAATATTATCAAATTTTTTATACATATACAGTATAAGTAATGCCATTAGACAGGAGGTAACTTCTCTCCCAAATAACAAAAATTCCAGTTAAAATCATAAAGATAATAGGCCCATAGACCTAATAAAAGAATAAAAAGAAATCTATACTAATATTATAAAGAGGTAATGTTTGTATGTATGTATGTATGTATGTATGTAAGTTTGTTTGCAGCAGGTAATCTCCGAAACTACTCATCCGATTTCAAAAATTCTTTCACCAATATTTAGAATGGAACCTCAGGGTGGACATAGGCTGTATATTATTCCGTTAAACATTCATATAAATTAAAATATATAATCTAGGTTAAGGCTTTTATGTCCAACAGATGGCGCTACGAGTACGACGCCCTAAGTTTGCTTTTCTGTGA